TTCAGATTCTTATTTTTTAAAAACTTTGAAAACCATGCATCCCTTTTCTTCCACTTTTCAATTATCATTCTTTTGTGGCCTGTCGCATCGAATCCAGACAAAAATGATAGAAGTTTGTGGTTGTACTGAGACAAAATGTGGAAAAGATCAACAGCTACGAAGATGTTTGCAAGGCACTGTAAGGCAATGCCATAATACGAAAAATAAACCTATTGTGTTTTTGGTCTTTGTTTCAGTTTCAGATCTTAATTTTTGGTTTTCTGTAGAATGACCCTTAAACCAGCTGACATTTTTTCTTTATTTTGATACTTCTGTGATCTGAGGGCCGTTAAATGCATGTTTGTTTCTCATCAGGCAGCAATGAATTTCCAAATGGGCTTTAAAGTCTAGATTTTCCATTTAGCATCATTTTTAACTGATAATCCTTTATAGTGTTTTTATTTTAATTTTAAACTAAGCTAAAACTTTGACACTTTGTGGGTTTGTGTTCCAGAGGAAGCTGATTCATATGTATAAATGCTGTAAATAGCTCTTTGTGGCATCCTCTGTTATGGCTTGGTTTATTCTACGCTGTGGAGAAAGTTTAACATCATGAATCATTGAATCTGCTCACAGCTGATGTCATTGCTGACCAGTCAGCACTGACATTTGTTGTGGACAGTGCAGGGCTGGAAGTAAATGGGACGTTTCTATTAAGCACATAAACTTCATTTACACACCACGCTCTGCTGGACAAAGTCTGATTCCTTTTGATTTCACCATGTGGCTCAGCCTTCATCTGGATGATGGGATGAGTCTGGAAGTTTAGCTTCTCAGTTTCTTTCGAGTTTGGAAGACGTATTTCCAGCATATCTCTTGTGGTTCGTCCGTTTCCCAATATTTAAGGTTGCTCTGATTTCCGCTTTGGTTTCATTTTTGGTGGAAACTGTTCTGGTCATTTTGCTACTATTTGTTTTTCTGGAAAAAAATGTATTTAAACAAGAAAATGTAAAAACTGAAACATTGTGCCTCATCTCCTACTGAGCCTGTCTTTGACTGTCTTGTTTCCTCTGTAAAACGATTTTGTGGTACATATAGTGTAAGAATGCTTTTTGTTGCTTTGTTGTATCAGTGTGTTTGACATTGAGCATTAGCACCAACCTATTGCACGGTCTGGTGGGTTTCTCAGTTGTATTCTCTCATATCTGCAAAGAATCCCAGGTTCGCCTTTCCAAAATTAGGTTTAAATATTGTTCTGTTTTTATTTAGGATATGTATTTATTATTTTCTCGTTCATTTTTACGACACCTAAAACATTGTCGCTTCAGTTTTATAAAACACATGACTCATTCTAAACGAGACAGAAAATCAGCCTCCCTGTCTATAAATCTAGTTCTAGTTTTTATCCCTGTGGGAGTTTTCATAAATTGGAGATCCAAAATCTAAAAAATTACAACCCATTACGTATTCAGTTATCTACTAATAAATGTTCACATAACAAGTCATTTTAAATGCACATGAGCGAAAACGAACCTTTTTTTATTTGTTAAAAGAAACCCACAAATTGTTTTCCAGTTGAGGAAAAAGTTAGGACACCCTACCCACTAATATCTAGTGTTTCCCCCTTTAGTTGAAAAACATTTAGTGAGTTCCTTTTTGTATCCATCTACCACCTCTGGCACCAGTCTGGAGAAAGTTTCCTCCACTCCTCACTTCCAGCTGTTAGATGTTTGAGGGGTTTCTTGCATCTTCAGCCTGTTTCAGGTCACCCCACAGCATCTCAGTGAGACCTGGGCTTCGACTTTCTCTGCAATTCTTTGGTGGATTTACTGGTATATTCTGGGCAATTGTCATGCTGCATGGCCCAGTTCTGTTTCAGCTTCATTTTATAGATGTTCTCATATTTTTTTCCTCAAACTCCCTCTGATATACAGTTTTTCATGGTGGATTCTGTGATGGTGAACAGGTCCTGCTACAATGAAGCTTCCCCAAACCATGTATCCCCAAACCACTTCCACTTCACAGTTCGTCAGGGGGTCTTTTCCTGGAACGCTGCCTGTTGGTTTATGCCAAACATGTCCTGTTCTGGTGTCCAAATAATTAAATTTAGACTAACCCGTCCAAAAAACATTTTTCTAGAATTCCTGCTCTTTGACTACATTCTCTCCGGCAAACTTATATGACTCTGGCCTTCATGTTTTTCTTAGCGAGCAAAGGTTTCCCTCCTTGGACACCTCCCATGAAAGCTCAGCTCGTGCAACATTTGCTGGAGTCTGCTGTAGATCCTGCGATTACCTTTTAGGGTTTTTGAAGACTTCTTTCAGCATCTTGCGGTCTGCTTTTAGGATGATCCTGCTTGTGCAGCAAGACCTAGACATGTTGGCAGGGGTTTTGAATATCTTCCACTTGTGGAAAACTTTCCCTGCAGAGGAATAGCTGATTTCACATTCTTTGGATACTGATTTAAATTCCTTACCAGATTCACAAGGTACTACAGTCTTATTCCTTTAAAATGCTGAGTGATACTCTAATAATGTGCACCTGATGTGATTTTAGCCATTTCAAGAGGTTATAAATTTGGAGGTGTCCTACTTTGTTCCTCATCAGAAATTTTACTTTTTATTTCATTTAACAGACTTTTAACGTTTTTTTTTTTCTCTCTGTTTATATATATATAAACAAAACAAAAAACATATATATATATATATATATATATATGGGTTTTTTTTGTGTGTTGTTAAAATTTATTTTGAATATCCATGTATCCAAATATGTTCAACACAGACTTTCATAGGGTGTCCCAGTTTCTTGATATATGACTGGTGTTTTTTTATTTTTATTTAGTTTATTAATTTTAATTTTATATTTTTTGGGAAAGCTGACCAAGTATAACACACTGAACTTGCAGATTGAGAAATGAAAAGTGTTTGAACCCAGTTTTAGTTGGCTTGGTGTTAGAGACGTTTATTTCTGTTGGAAAGCATTTATTGGAGCCTTTTTGTGTGTTTTATGTAATACCCTAGTTTAGCCACTAGGTTTAGCATTTGTGTTGGGGATTGTTTTGCATAAAGGTAGGAACTGTTCAGGTAACAGGTGTTGGTAGTCATAGGACCAAATTGTTCTTTGACTGAAATTGAAAAGACTAACCCTTCCCCTTAAATCGTACTCTTATGCAACAGTGCATAAAACAATGGAAAATAATTTTTTAGTTCTTACGGCTTTTGGTTCATGGTTGCTCCATTTCTAATCATATTTATTCCAGCAAACTCTGCAGTGGCACTATCAAACCTGGCAACGGTGAACGGAAGCAGCTAAAAGTCTCATTTTTTTTCTACGCATGATAATTCTGTGTTTAATATGTGAGGGTTTAACTGCATTATGGCAATGTTGGTGTCAAAAGGTAATTCTGACTACATCATCTGTTATACCCATTCAAACTCTAAATCCATTCAGTTTTCCTACATCCTCATGTTGTTTGGCCCTGAAGTCACATCAAGCTAATGCTACACATGTTGGAAGCAACGGAATTAAAAATACTGTTCAACAATCTGGCATTCATTTTGCTCAGACAGAAAATAATTCCTGCAACAAATTATTGTAAGTAAAATGATCAGTAGATTACTTGTCTTTTACAGGGAACAAATCAAAAGTGAAAATCAAGAGACCTTCCTCGCAAATAACATCCATGGTCACCTCGATGGGCTGGTTTCCTAGTCTGAATCGTTGTGGCATGAACTGTGTTCTGTCCTCAGCCTTGGGTTGTTCCTTCCCTTAAAGCAAAGTTTCCAATTGTTCGTAAAAAGTGATTTTTGCAGAGGCTGCTTTTGGTGATTGAGGTAAAAATCCACTGTCTTCAGCTTATGTTTTCACAAACGTCACCCTTTGGAGAAAGTAAGAGTGCTCCCTCTAAAGCAGCCACTCATCCATTTGACATATTGCAAATGGGTCTTCTTTGTCCACAAAACAGTCCTGCTCCACAGTTCCAGACAACACATCCTTAGTCCTTATATGGTCATGTATTTTCAGTTTTATTACATGCTGTGATGGAACTTAATCTGTAAAGGAGTTTTACAGTCCTTTTCTTACATCCAAATACTGACCAACAGACCTTCCATCAGTGGAGCAAAACCTCATTTGGTTTGGTCCTTCTGAACACCAAAACCTGTTTCCTCAACAAAAGTTTCTGCCTTGTATGCAAATAAAAATCCCAACACAAATTACGACACCTTGTGATTCGACCAGGGTCCTTCACAAAATATAAAGATTACTCCTAAAGCATTGTTTTATTGAAACAGAGCAGAATTAGATTAATGGGTAGATTAATCTTACCTAAACTCAGGTGGACATATATTTTTAAATGGAAAAACACAAAGAAAGACTCTAAGCTGGTGTTTCTTGCAGGTTTTTTTATTTTGTTTTACAGAAAATTACAAGTCTGTTGTGACTTATAATGCAAAGCTTTAGTTAAGCACTTGTGTTTAGGCTTTGCATTATTTGTTCATGGTTCTACTCAAATCTTCTTCCCCTCATATTTTTCTGGATGAAGTTTATATTTTAAATCCCATTTTTGGAAGCAGGACAGGTAATTTAGACTGAAGTGAAATTATTTGGAATGTGACTTTTTTGATATGCATATTTTGAATACCTTTGTTTATGAAATAACAAGCAGATTCATCCAGCATGTCCCATGATTAAAACTGCAATAAAACCATGTACAGCAAAGAAAAGCATGAGACTGAAGCTTTGTCTGCAGCAGAACTCCTCTGATAGCTGTTGAATTTTCAACAAAGCTAACAGACATTTATGAAATCAAATACTCGCTCTTTGTTGACAACAGAGTTTATTTTCTGTGTTGTACAACCAGCATATGAAAAAGGAAAAATAAAATGTGGATGTGAAATGGAAGGAAATGGTTTTGGGTTTTTGTTTAGAGAACTTTGACTGTTCTGGTCAGAAGTTTCCGTCTGCAGCATGAATCTTATACATTTTATGTTTTAATGATGATGATGATTGATTCAGGCCTGCACAGTGGCGCAGTCGGTAGCACTCTTGCCTTGCAGCAATAAGTTCCCAGGTTTGACTCCTGGCTGGCAGTCTTTCTGCATGGGCTTTGCATGTTCTCCCTGTGAATGTGTGTGTTTTGTCCAGGTACTCCTGCATCCTCCCACAGTCCAAAAACATGACTTTTCGGTTAATTGGTCTGTCTAAACTGCCCTTAGGTGTGAATGGGTGTGTGTCTCTATTGCCCTGCGATGGACTGGCGACCTGTCCAAGGTGTACCCCGCCTCTCGCCCATAGACCGCTGGAGAGAGGCACCAGCTCCCCCGTGACCCTGTATGGAAGAAGCAGGCATAGAAAATGGATGGATGATTTGATTGAACAATTCTCTGAAATGCACCAACAGATTTAAAAGGACTCTACCAATTCTGCGAAGAGGAGTGGTCAAACATCCAGCCAGAGGCAGGCCAGAAGCATTTCATGGCTACAAAAGAAGTGTGGTCAAGGTGTAGCTTGCTAAGGGAATATGAACCATATATTAGTGGCGAAGTATGTATGTGTTGGAGTCTTTATGTATAATTTTGACCCTGTGTGTATAAGAGAAAATCAGCAATAACAAATAAAATTAATGCCCCCAGGTTTTGCCTTTCAGAAATCATTGCATGTTGTAAATTAATGTCACCCTGAAAAAAACAGTTCAAATAAATCAAGGTTTGAGTCGAAGTGTAATTTGAAAATGTCACAACACACACACACAGTCACAATTACTTGATTTAAGTCTACCAATGGCAGAAATATACTATTTTCAGAAAAAAACACGAGTTCATAATCTTTCACAGAGAGAAAAATGTCAGTAATAATTACATTTTTTTTAATTAATGATTGTTCTTCCTTCTTATGTTCAAATTTGGGAATGTGGGAAAACAGTTTTGCTTCTGTTGTCTTTTGGTTTTATTTTGTTTTTGTTTCAATTAAGAAAAAGAATCTAGATTTTGTTGAAATGACAAAAACACAATGCAATGTAGGTACATGTCCTGCTTATATAAAATTAATTGCATGACGTAGCATTTCCAGTGCATTGTGGAAGTATTCACACCCCTCTCTTCACATTTTGTCACATGACAACTGCAAATTTCTTTTACTTTTTTAGTTTTTTGGGGGGATTTTTAAAATGTTATGTGTGGCATTAAAAGAACACTACACATCAACCTAAACATGAACCCCTGGTTGAAACCTGGTGGTGGCAGCATCATGCTGTGGGGATGCTTATCTTCAGCAGAGGCAGTGAAGCTGGTCAGAGATGATGGGATAATAGATAAATACAGGGGATTGCTGGACAAAATCCTGTTAGAGACTCCGAAAGACTTGAGACTGGAGCTTGAAAATTGATGTTCACAGATGCTCTCCATTAAGTCTTGAGCTGTTTTGCAAAAAAGGATGGGTAAATATTTCAGTCTCTAGATTATTAATGCTGGTAAAGACCGACCCCCGAAGACGTGCAGATGTAATTGCAGCAAAGTTTGGTTCCACAAAGTGTTAAATCAGGGGGGCTGAATATACATGCATGCCAGTTTCAGATTTTTATTTCTAAAGAAGTATGACAACCATTTATCACTTTCCCTCATTTCACAGTTATGCACTACTTTGTGTTGATCTGTCACATAAAAGTATCAAAAAGTTTTTTTGTTGCATCGTGACAAAAGTTAAAACTATTTAAGGACTACCAATACTTTTTTCAGTGCAATGAATATCACCAAATTGTAAAGAAGCTTATGTTTGTATTTCTACCCAGGCAGAACCTTTAGTGGTCCCATGGTGACCACACTGCAACCAATCAATGGTATTTTGGAGGGGCATTGCCTCTCTGACTCTGAAACTGTAGCACAAGACCGGAGATTTTTATTACATGTTTAAAGACTTTGTAACAAGAGAGTTGAAATTCTGAGACGCCATACATGCATGTATATGCACAACTGTTACTCAACCAAGGCAACTGCTTCTTAAATGTCATAGCAGAAACTCGATAATACCATAACTTCATCATCATATTTTTTATGCAGGCTCACTTACAGGGGTTGGACAATGAAACTGAAACACCTGTCATTTTAGTGTGGGAGGTTTCATGGCTAAACTGGACCAGCCTGGTAGCCAGTCTTCACTGATTGCACATTGCACCAGTAAGAGGAGAGTGTGAAGGTTCAATTAGCAGGGTAAGAGCACAGTTTTGCTCAAAATATTGAAATGCACACAACATTATGGGTACATACCAGAGTT